CTTTCCTGACCTGACAGCTTCTTCTCTGTGTTGTTATGGAGATTACTCCGTATTACTCTTCCTTTCTTGGTCAGACTCTAGTCCTAGTTTCCTTCTTTTTCATACTTATTCAAAATGAGTATTGGTTCAAAGAATAGCTTTCTGGGAAATGGTCGTGGAAGTCTTAACATCTACATGGATTTTTAGGGCTCTGTAGGCCATATTGTCCTTTCTTTTTTAAAGTAAGGAGTAACAGTAGAAAATCTATTTAATAATGTTGGAATGGTAGGATTTCTGCTTATCAGATAACTAAATAATGTCTTAGCACCTTCAGCAGGTTACAATTTTCTTTGGTAGACAACTATTTTCTTAAAAAAAATTAACTTTTAGAGTTAAACATGCATCCAAAGAAGGACAGTGAAGCTGGTGAAGGTTCTGGAGCACAAGTCTTATGAGGAGCGGCTGAGTGAGCTGGGGTTGTTTAGTCTGGAGAAAAGGAGGCTCAGGGGAGACCTTATTGCTCTCTTAACTACCTGAAAGGAGGGTGGAGTGAGGTGGGTGTTGTTCTCTTATCCTAAGTAACCAGCAATAGGACAAGAGAAGATGGCCTCAAGTTGAGCCAGGGGAGGTTTAGATTGGGTATTAGGAAAAATGTCTTCACCAGTTGAGCCAGCTCAAGTTTAGATTGGGTATTAGGAAAAATGTCTTCACCAAAAGGGTTATCAAGCATTGGAACAGGCTGCCCAGGGATGTGGTTGAGTCACCATCCCTGGAGGTATTTAAAAGACATGTAGATGTGGTGCTTAGGGACATGATTTAGTGGGGGACTTGGCAGTGTTAGATCAATGGCTGGACTTGACCTTAGAGGTCTTTTCCAACCTAAACAATTCTGTGAACTTAGCAGAAATACTAATTATGTGATAGTCCTTGAACTAGTGTCATAATTCACATCTGTCAACTGCTAAGTACTTCTAAAGTTCTGTATCTGGTGTACAGGTTCTGGGACAAGGAATCATGTTAGTTCTGGCCTAGTTTGTATACCGAGAATGCGGAAACTCTGCTCTGATCTACTGAGACAAGACTGTGATTCCAAATCCTACTGAATAAGGGCAAGATTAAAAAAAGAAAAAAAAAAAAAGGTCTAAAGAAAGGTGGAGCTGAGAACAATGACATATAAATTGATTGCAGGACAAAGAGGTCTAAGGGTAAGAGTGAATAAGCCATCTGAGAACTCTCAGAAGAGCTCAGGGATTTGGAAGAACAAAGGAAGGAAATAATTTAAGACAAAGTAGAGGAAAAATTAAAGATGATGTTGGAACTACTTTTCAAAACAGTTCCAAAGTCACTTTTCTCACACCCTAACTTTAAGCCAACAGGTTGCAGTCTATTGCCACATGCAGAAGCAGCAGAGTCAATCTACTGAAAGGGCAGGAGCAAAGAACTGACTGAAGTGTTATATGTTCCCCCTTCTCCTCCTTCTCAGTGCAGTCATTAAAGAATTTACACATTTTAAAAAGAAGAGAGACCCTCAGGTGAATCACACTCTGAGGGGCAGGTTGGATGTAGGTTATGGTTATTGGACTGAGAGAAAGAATAGTATAAGCCGGGTAAACTCCAACTCCTACGCAGCAGTGCAGCATTAAGGGAAGACAGTTGATAGTGTGGTTACTGTTGTAAGAATCTCAGAAAAATATTTAGCTTACTGAGGGGACAAGAGCTGAGGAAAGCCAGGGAGTTGTATAAACTTGTGTGTAATCAAGTGATGGTGTTGCCTTAGATTTTGTTTGGCTACATGCAGAGTAAGAAGAGTTTCCCCAAGAATCTTACTTATTGTCATAAACATACTGATATGTTTGATGAGAAGGAGGCCCCTGTAAAATTAAGTTCATGCTATTTCCAGGTGGAGATTGTTTCCAGATGGTGCAAAGTAGTTCTGATTGGCTCGGCCTGTGCTGGAGGGTTATGCCTTGGAGCCAGGGGAGCTTTTGCAAGCTTCTCACAAGGTGTCCCCTTTCCCCACTACCAAAAACAGCCCCCTGCAGCCACACAAACCCAACACACTCATTGAAGTCACAAATATACATATGACAAGACTAGCGAATTAGGTTTAAAACTACCTTATTTGTGCAATGCTATGATAACTAGCACAGCATACTGTACTGCTGCAGTACACTGCCTCCTTTGTACAGACTTTGTTTCTGAACCTACCATCGTGCAGATCTGTCACAGATGCATTATGGCTCTTCCCCTTCCTGTTTGGCATCGGTGTGGGTGGCAAGCCAGCCAGCGAATCTCCTCTAGTTACAGAAACTTCTCTGTTATTTGAAGAAGTGGTAAGAGGACATTTTTGCATCTGAATGCTGGCCTTACATAATTCTGCATTGAAATGTGAAGGTAACTGCTGAAGACCTGAAATAGCCCCAGTTAATCTAAATTCTGTATCTTGTTGCTTTCTCCGTGATCCACAGCCTTAAAATGGCATTAATACAACGTTCAGCTTTAAATGGCATTAATACAACGTTCAGCTTTGGCAATGGATGAAGTACTATACAGAGTAAGAATCAGTTTCACTCTTGATAAAAAAAACCCAAAAACTCTTGCTCCACAAGGGATTCAGCCATAAAGTCTCAAATCGTTCAGCTGACACTGTCATTTTACTAGTTAGTTTTATTAGCATCACTACCAATTAGTTAATTTCGCTTTATTTTAAGCTTATTTTATAGAGGGGAAAATACTTGCTGTTGTAGGTACCTCTCAAGGGTGAGAATATAAAGAGAAGTTAGATGTCAGACTGCTGACAGAAATACTGGGATATACAGACTTTGTATTTCCATTTGTAGGTGAACTACACTTTAATTAAGTGTATAGAAATAGTCTAAATTAAATAAGAACAAAAATATCTGTGTTTACGTTCTCCCTTAAACCTCAGTAAAGGACTGAATTTTAGTTTTTCCTCAGATCCCTAAAACTGGAAAAAAACCACAAGACTATTTTTACTTATGGAATATCTATATATAGCTTCAGAACAGTCTATTTACTGCCACATTTCAAACTAGGAAAATTTTCTGTATATGCATCATTTGGATTGTCTGTTTACAATACTGCTGTCACTGCTTCATGTTATAAATTATTAGCCCCAATTTAGAGCAATTCCTAGAGGAAGTCATACAGCTTGTCTGACAGCAAATACAGGCCTCTAGGTATGCTTCATAATAAAATTAGGCTCCTTGTTATGGGGTTTGGGGCTTGTTTATTCAGATTCAAGGTTTTTAATGATAATTAACTCTTTATCTTCTGTGATCTTAGAATGTTTTTATGAGCTGGAATCTAGCTTTAGCTATATTAAGTACTCAAGAGTGAGTAATCAGTAGTTTTGCTTAGAGCAACATAATGTCAAATATTTCAAAAGCAACAGAGATGAAATATAAAATCTGTAACAGTCCTACCAAGTGACAGCTAAAACAAATATTGAGACAGGTGTCCACTAAAGTGTCTAAACATTTGGCATCAACAGACATTATGTTTTGTTATCTCTGGTAACTGTTGATGTAATTGAAAGAGTATTTTCATACAAAAATGGCAATTAATTGGGAATTCACCCAGAATGTAATGCTGGCATGTTACCAGGAGGAGTACCTTTCACAGTCACCTTTTTCTGCTGTTGTATCATGCTGGACCCATGAGTAGCATCTTAAGATTTTCTGCCAGGGTGTTGGCGCATTACCTCTTGTGGGAGCCCATTGCAGCAGCACTGTATGTATGTGGCAATGGTTTCATGCCTGGGCTTTGTGTGCTATGAGTGAACACTGTTATTTGGACCTGCTGAGTTTATGATTTTTGTTTATATTATAACTTAATGTTCATATTTATCAAGTAGAAATACATAACGACTTTAGTGCTCATTTACCATCTTCGTATAAGCACTGCTTTAAGCCACTTCTAACTGGGTGCTACTACAATACTGACAGGTGAAACCAGCTTAGTAATTGCAACCCAGCTCCTCTCTTCCCTCTAAAATTTTATTATAACAGGTTTCAACAGCTCCAAGTGGGTGAGTGTAGCTTCAGATTCCTTTGTGGCAGGAGCACCATGGCAAATCTTTGTTCAGAGATCAGTGGATCCATCTGCATTAATTCCTCGATGAGCCACCCCGTGCTCTGCACAAAGCTGTTCCCAGCCCTTCCCAGGTACGTGGTGCTGTGCGTGCTCAGGGGGCAGGCGATGGCTGCTGCAGCCGAGGGCACCTGCCACGCTGTGCAAACACCCACATTCAAGCTGCCAGTCGGTGGTCTTGTCTGACAGCTAGCCAGAGACTATACAGAATCAAAACACTCTTCTCCTGGAAAGCCTGTTCTGAATTTTGAATATTTAGTAGTTGTTTCACTGTAGTAGCAATAAGGAAGCTATCCTCTCTGCTAATTGATACTGTGAGTGGGGCGAATACAGATACAACAGCTATGAAATAAGAGTCATTTTGCTTTGGATTGTAGACTTTTTAATCCAGTGAATAAACATGGAACTGAGAGAGGAAAGAGAAATTGTTTGGCCTTTTACAAAATACTGAGAGAACAGAGAGTTTTCAAGTTGCCTGTCTTTTTCCAGTGCCTCTTGCTTTTTTTTCTTTGAATGTGTAGCCTTCCCAGGGGCAATGCTTTTGCTCTGCAGCACCATGGTATCTTCTCTAGCCTTTGGTGCATCGTAAGGAAATCCATCCAGTCCAGGCATTGCTATCCTTATCTCTGTTATATTGTGGAGTAGTATAGACATAATAATTTTGGTCTTTTTTTT